TAATTACGAAGATGGGTTTTTCGTACCCTCTATTAGTCGTTTGCATTATAGCTTCCGTCTTCTGTATAGATAGCTTAAGACCGTTCGCATTCATCCAACTCGCTACTCACTCTAAGATTGTATTCATAGTTTCCTCTATGATGGGTGTGTAAGCTCTGTTGCTACTACGGTTACGTCATCTGCAAAGGCCACAAATGTTGACGACGAAAATGTAGTGGATTCTCCAAAATCCACTCTGAGAAGGTTGTCGTAAATCACGTTCCACAAGAGTGGCCCGAAAACCGACCCCTGTGGAACCCCGCATGTTACGGTCTGACGTCCTTCCTCACCGAATTCTACCGCTTGGTCGCACAAGTAAATGCGAATAATTTCCAAAAGATACTCTGGTACTCTTTCTCTGCACAGTGCTGTGTTTCTCACCTTGCCAAATTAAATGAATTTTCTACATCTAATGCCACTACCGCGCAAAGCCTTTTCCGACGCCACGGTCCCTCTGCTGCTTGTTTTGTAATTTCTGATACTTTTGTAATAGTGTAGATTGTAGACCACCCCTTCCTGAACCCATACTGGCGTTCACTCAAACCACCAATGCTCTCTAGATATGTCTCTAGTCGTCTCATGATTGATGCATCAATGATGCGCTCGAATAGCTTACTGTGTTGAGGAGGCATATGGGTCGGTATGACGATGGCTGCTCTAGTGGTTTGTCTCCTTTCCGGAGAAGTACTAATTTTGCTGTCTTCCACGTCTTAGGAAAGGATCCATGTGTAAGGCACAAGTTGAATATTTCACTTAGAGTCTGTGGCTTCCTCACCACTATTTCCTTAATAACCATGGCTAGTATTCCATCTAGACCTTGGGTCTTACCCAATGGTATTTTGGAACTGGCTTTTATTACTTCAGCCGTGGTTACTTCAGGGAAAAATTGTTCTGAAAACCTTGGCCGCCATTTTATGATCGCTTTTCGAGGAAACAAGGTATCTACTGTAGATTCTAGTCTGCCAGGAAGTGTGAGTCCAGAAATTGCTCTCCTTCCCATCAGTTTTCTGGTCACAATTTTGTATGGTAACCCCATGGATCAGTTTCTATCTGATTGCATAAGTTGTGCTAGCTCACTTTTTTGCTTTTCTTTATTTCCCTTTTCAGTTTTTTTCCTTGCCTCCTTATTTTATAGATGTGTTATTTCTCTTTGAGCTAAGGTTTCATCATTGCAGCTCCTTTTGTATTTTCTTCTGGCTGCTAGGCATACTGACCTTAAGTTCACAATATCCTGTGTCCACCAGAAGACCGGCTATTTTCCTCTTCTATATTTGCCTTTAGGCATGCAGCTTTCCCAGGACTTCTTTAGAAAAGTGTTCATACATTCTACCCCAGCTTCTACATCCTTACTGGTAATGGGGTCTTCGGCTGATGCTAAAAACTCTTGAAGCTTTGTCGGATTATATTTCCTCTAGGCCTATCTTTCACCATGGCTGTAGTGACTTGGTTTTGCCTGACCCAATATAACATTAAATGTTATATATTTGTGCAGACTACCTGTATAATTGCCTAGAACTTTCCATTCTAGGACTGCATGACTAATTTCCTCCGAAACAAAAGTTAAGTCGATATATGACAGCGCCAACCTACCATCTCTGTATATCCGCACGAACGTTTGTCTGTCATCGTTGTTGCATGCTGTTAAGTTGAGGGATGACGTAAGATCTACTAATGCCTGCCTTTTTATGGCAAAATTCAATTTGAAATACCCAGTTCTTCCACGATATCATCTTCTTCAACCTGCTGGTCTATGTAAGAATAGCGATCTCTTCCCTCTGTTCTAAGGCTTTCAGTGCTCCTGAATCTTCCATCACCTTGGATATTGCCTCTACTAATAAAGTTGAGTCCTGTGAATGGTGCTGTAGTTCAACCAGCAAATCTCCCGTTTGTGTTTTCCGTATGTTTTGAACATTCTCTGCAGCCGATTTTACATCTGCCCTGTCTTAAATTTCCTCAGAACTTCAGAGTATGAGCTCTTACCCACCTTCACTAAAACTTCTGGAGGCCGTTGTCTTTCTCTCTTCGCCTTTTTACCACTTGCCACTCCGAGTTTCCATCAGTATCCTTAGTTCTGACAATATTGCCGATTTTGTATGTATCATATTTTGGTTTATCGTTCTCCCGTCTTCATCCAATCCACCTGTCTTAGTTTCTACTCCAATTTTCTGTTGCTGAGTATGACCTCCTATCTCTGGCCGTTGCTTGAGCAAATTAAACTGATTTTGTTGTGACTCCAACATTTTCTGTATTTGGAATTGATGTTCTATTTGCTTCTTCTTCATTGCTTCCATTGTTTCTTTAATCTATTCCAGCTATTCCCGTTGCTGTTGATGCAATTATTTGTTCTTTGTGTACTGTAACTGATGTTACTGTTAGACCGTTCGCAGCCTTTGATCGACGGTGTCTGTGAGCTGCGCTCTGCCAATTAACTTGTCCACTTTAAGGAGGTCCCTAAACACCTAGGTCCTTTACCGCTTCTTTAATTTCCCATTTCGTTTTGGTTGCCAAAGTAACTTCCTTTTCCATTTGCATCAAATGTATATTCACTTCTTCCAAAGCTCTTTGGTAAGACTTTTCTGCCTATGATCTGCTTATATTTGTCTTTTGCCTGCCAGAAGAAATCTTCAAGTCGGGTGTTTTCAGTTTTTCCACCAACTTTCTACCATTGTGCTCTTTATCTGCATGTTTAGTTGTCTCGGTTTGACTGGGAATCGATTTCCTTAAATCGACTAGTTCTGCAACCTTTGTCGTGCATTGTTCGTTATTTAGAGTGTCCATCGCAACAGTTTGCAACTTGAACGAATCACTGTAGCACTATGTATACGTTGCGCATTTGGCTCTCTACGTATACTCTTAATGTGATGTGTGGAATGACAAATGCCATAGTAGGCAGTGGGGACCTTTCCCAGTATCTGTTCCAGTACCTAATTAGTGCCCGTGTGTCAGGATATAAGATAGCGTGCCCGTTGTTGCAACGGCTTAATTACGGACCGCGCGTCGGTTAAGCGATAGCAATAGCAACTTACCGACTTTTCCAGCCGTACTGGCAGTATAATAATTTCAAGTTAGATGTGCCCCAAAGGCAAGAATTTTTATCAGGCCGACTCAAAATAGATAAAGACCCGATCACGCACTTTTTACCCATCTTGAGGGCGTCGAGAAAAGCGAATCGGACTACGGTATCTGTTTTAAAAATGTTAAAGAATAGAAGAGAAAAACATCGCGACGCGTAAACAGGTTCACTCATGAAGTTCAATGAATTATTATTTTTATTATTATTATTATTATAATTATTATTATTATTATTGTTATTATTATTATTATTATTATTATTATTATTATTATTATTATTATT